CAATGCAGAGATTATTTCGATGCAACCATATTTACGATCTTCCTTCTTTTGGTGCCCATAAAGAGCCACTGATGGAATAAAACATGGACAACTCCTGTCCCAAATAAAAACTCCTCCCAAATATGGCACAACTACCACTCTGGCTTTCGTAAGGAACTCAATTCCAAGAATTAGATCAAAATCATCTAAAGGAACAGCCATAAGACTAACTACGCCCTCCCAACAACCAACTTTCATAGAAGTGATGGCCATGCCTAAAACAGGCTTGGCTTCAGAATTCACAGCTTTCATCTTATTAGCATGTGGAATTAACTTTAAATTAAAGTTACTTATTTCCCTCTGCGCAATGAAGTTATGAGTGGCCCCCGTATCCACCATTGCCAAAACTTCCTTGCCGTTCAGTGTCACCTGAATGAACATGAGCCTTTTCAACTCCATGGACTGTTCTTCAGTAAGAGCATTCAGCATTTGCAGAGGATTAACTCGGGTTGGACCAGATTCCGAGTCTGAGTCTCCTTTTGAATCAGCGACAATAGCACTCAGCTTCTCCCTCTTGGGACAGTCCCTAACACGATGGGGACCATTAGAGATGAAACAACCGTAGTTGGGCTTAGTCCCACTACTACTCCCTTTGTTGTTGTAATCTGCCTTGGCCTTGACAAAGCCACCGCCTTTATCCTTCTTTTGATTCTTGTCCTTCTTTTTGTCCTTGAACCTGAAGGACTGGCCTTTGTCTTTCTTCCCCTCCTTGGACTTCTTCTTGTCTTGTGTAGTAGACCCAGTCATCTTGAAATCTACAAGACAATCTGCCGCTGTCATGGCAGTAGGAAGGTCCCTCACACCTTGCCTACGGAGTTCTGCCTGAGCCCATGGTTGCAATCCGGACATGAAATTGAACAGCTTGTCCTCCTCTGACATATTTCGAATGTCCAACATCAAGGAACTAAAGTCCTTCACATAGTCACGAACGGTACCTGTGTGCTTCAATTTCTTCAGAGATTCCCTTGCAATCCATGCAGTGTTCTGAGGCAAGAACTGGTTCTTCAATTCCTTCTTGAGGGTCTCCCAAACTTCAATCCGAGGCCTACCCGCAGAAGCATCGTCCTCTGTCCCTGTGCGCCACCATAGCTTTGCATCACCAGACAGATACATGCTTGTAATGGTCACCTTCTCGCCATCAGGGATCCGAGCAGCCTTGAAGTACTGCTCCATGTCCCATAGGAAATTCTCCAACTCTTTGGCATTTCGGGTACCACCGAAAGACTTGGGATCCGGCACCTTGATCTTCTGTGAAAGAGGATCACCAACGCCTCTGGAACTCCCATGAATGGCCCTCTTCACCAAGGACACTTCATCTTCAAGGTCTTTCAGGTTCTTCTTGAAGACGTCAGTCAGTGACTCAACATCTTCAGAGATACGGGTCAATTGCTCTTTGGTGGCCTGCATGAAGTCACCAAACCCATCAGGATCAGTCTTCAAGATCTCCACTTCAGAAGCCAAGTTTTCAATTCGAACAACAAGGCTCTCTGCACCATCTTGTACCTCTGTTTCTGTAGGAAAACCCACGAACTCTTCCAAATGGGAAACTCTTTCACGAGTATTACCTCCAGCCATCGTAGAACGGGGCTCTGATACCAATTGTCACAGGGCTAAATTACACCACGAATTTTTGCCTTTGCAATGGCACTTGGGGCCACCAAGTCTCAGCCAACACAACAACACAATACACACAGTATAGAAATATAAAGAAGGCACACACAGTTACAGGGACAAGCCCCAACCTTTGCTCATATTAAACATATTACAAAGGAACATGAGTTCGTACAAGGAACAATCAAGGCTCACACCCTCTTCTCTGCCCCTTCTACAAAGCCCACCTTAGCATTATATAGGCCACTCTCAAAACCGCCCATAACTGCCCACTAAGATGATGGATGACACCCCCATCCACCTAGGGTCGTGCTGGCACCCTCTAAATGAGCCAGCACTATAATGCAGTTGACAAGCCCAACTGCTAGACTTGTTGGCATGTTCTGCTCATGCCACATAACCACAAGAAGTTAGATTTTGCATAGTGGAGGAAACCACCCTTAACCGCCTGTGTGTTGGTCCTCTCAGAATTATGCCGCATGTTTGGGAGGTTACTCAGCACTCCCCCACTTCCCATGATGAGTGGGAAGTGCTAGTAACTTCCCCCAACCAACCGAGCCCATTAAGCCACCACCTCTTATAACCGCAAGCCATGACTTTGTGTTGTCCATGCTCTAGCCACATCTGAGTCAACCTTGTGAACCTAGCCCAAGTCCACCAATTTGCACCCACATACATATGTCTCTAAGTGCACGGCGTGCCAAGCCATGCACGCCCATGCGCACGCTCGGATGCACACCAAAGTGCACGCCGGCGCACACACTAGTGCCCTTCTTCGCGTTCCATGTTTGTACCCTCATGCGCCCGTGGCTGTACACCCACCTGGACGCCCATGCGCACGCTGAGCTAGACGCTTGCGCACACTAGGTTAGACGCCAGCCCGCGCGCCCACCTGCATGCCCGCACGCGTGCCGCTGCACACCAGCGCGCGTGTCGGTGCCCACTTGTTTGCCTTTCAATATCTTGGATGCTCCCCACTTGTGCAACCATCTTGGAGTGGTGCAACACGTGCCCATGCACGTTAGCTAAGCCCTCTAAGCAAGCCATGCCATAGCCCAACCGATGTGCTCAACAAACCCCCCCTAATATAGTCTTAAGGAAATCCAGCACTCTGACAGGAGTAAACATCACCCATGCTTGAGGAGTCATAATGGCCTTTCAGACCTTTCCCGACATCCAAATTGAGTGCCGTCTGCGCCAACCAGCTTCTATGGACTTAAGGTATCTCCCATAAAGATCCCGAGTCAAAACTCCAAGTTTCACTTTTCGCCATATTTACGAAAGTGCCACTGGGCACCCCCAGTGCACGCCGAGCATCCTTTTAAGCATCTTGTGTGCACGCTGAGCATCTTGTGCACGCTGACAACCCACTGAGCATTCTCATGGCTGTCTAACCAAAGCCAAAGTATTCCCAAGACATGGCATGGCCTTGAAATGCCCATGTCTTCCCTTGGACAACCGTCAAGGGGCTAACACTAGTCCACTACTAGGTGCATAAATTAATAGATAATTAGAAGAAGAAAAAAATTATTGTTATTAAAAATAAGAGAGAGAAACTTTATATTGTATAAAAAGCTAATCGAGAAACACAACCAGCATGTTTTAATTAAAAAAATGTTTTGTTTTTTTTTTTTCTCTTTTATTTTTGTTGGCAACTTCTAAAATTGCAAAATAAAAATAAAAATTAAGTTTAATAATGTGTTTATACTTTTCTATAATAAAAATATATATTTTCATTTTTGTAAAGAAGAGAAAAAAAAAATGATGTTTTCTATATTTTTGGCATTGTAGTGCAAAAACATTTTCCTAGGTGCATTGTTTATTTCAAACAAAATTTATGTTATATACTAATGTTACATATTAAATAGTAATAAAAAATATATATTAATATATGATATATTATATAATATTTTAAATTATTTTTTAGACAAAAATATTTTAGATTTATTATATAATTTTTATTTATTTTATATAATTTATTAATATTATTATGCAATAGATATTTTATATTATTACATACCCTATCTGTATTATATGATATATGAATAGTATTACAATTACTGTATCACATAAAAGAGAAATTATTTAATAGTTTTAATTTATTATAATATACTTATGATAAATATATTATATACTGTATTATACATAATGCATATACATGTATTTATATACATAATTTATGTAGCATTTTTGTTTTAATATATATATATATATTGTCCATGTGTATTGGATATTTTTTGCCCAAAATACCCCTCAGAGGGTGACTTAACATAGTGACTGGAGGCTATTTTGAGAAAAATGTACAAAAAAAACAAAAAAAGGATTTTATTGCCCAAAATACCATTCAACAGTCAAATGTTTTAGGTTTTCCCTTTTAAGTCGCATACAATCAAATATGGTCAACTGCATTGAGAAAGTACATGTGAAAGTACAAGAAGTGGATAAGTAAAACATAATTTAACTTAACAAATTTAAGCTGGTAGGCTAAAGTAAAGATACACCCATAAAATGGATTAATAAACTTGCAATTACATTAAACAATGCACAATCATTTGTGTGTGTGTGTGTGTGTGTGTGTGTGTGTGTTAGGCTAACAAAGTCCATTTTTTAAGCACTATTATTATTATTTTTATTTTCGAGTCAGTATTCAGTACAAGCTGAAAAAGTGTTCATCACTAATCTTAGTTTCCTATTCAAGAAAAGATGATCAGGAAAAGAAAGAGATATGCTATTTCTAAAACTGATGCTAAAGTCTTCATTGAAGTAAATGAATTCCATGGGCACAATTTTCAGGCTATAATGAATTAAAAGTAAAATTAAGAGAGATGCTAGTACTAAAACTGATGCTAAAGTCTTCCTCACAGACCTGTAGAGTGTGCACCATATATGAGAAAAGTAATGGTTGATAGCATTTTTTTGCGTCGCCTAAATGAATTCAATGGGCTCTCAACATAAATAAATTAATTTGTGTGGTTTTAAATAAATTACATTTCACATGTTTGCAGTGTGCTCGATCTGTTTGTGCTTAAGTAAATTCCGAAATCTGATTGAAATTTGAAGAAAAGGGGAACATAACCACTCAAAACAGAGGAACTTCTGTAAAATTATATTTAACGTACCAGGCTTCATTATGTACACATGAAAATATGTAGCACAAGTGATGCACAAGGCTTACTATCTGCATATGATAATTCAACAAGATCATATGTATTTGGAGAATTAACACATTGTATTGCAGACATAAACGAATCAAGTTTCAAATTAATGCTGGCCACCGTAGCAGTGAAAAATATCATCGTACTCTCCACATAAGAATATGCACAGAAGGTCACAAAATTTGCATTGATTCCTAGATGCTTGGTCACAAAATTATAAGATACCAGATCATTCTTGAGGTTCAGTTGTAGCAGTTCACAGCTCTTTATCAAGCCTATTAGCTTCAAATATATGTCCCGGAAATTAATAAATAGTCGTTTTGTCCAAGAACTCATTTTACCACACCACACTCCATTGTCCATACGTCATAATAACATACACTCCCATCCAAATTACAAATTCAACCAACAGGCCGACCTAGCGGTACCAAGCCCCTACTTTTCAAAGAGAGGTCAGGGATTCGAACCTCAGTAGAGGCATGTGTGTGTGAGTACCAACTAGGAAAAAAAAAATTACAAATTCAGAAAAAATAAAGTGATTCCCCCAAAACTGGGGTGTATGGATAAAAGTATTGAGCAGCATTACCTCCTAAAAAACGCACAAGTAAATAACCAACCAAAACCGTCATCAGTTTTCTTCATTCCAATCCAATATGCTGCTCCATTCACAGCAAAATAACATGAAAGGGCAACATAAATTCTTCTCCAAGAGTCGGTGCTTAGACCATAAACATCCTTAGGATCTGATTTTTGTAGGGTTTATGCATCTCATGCCCCAAGCACAAAATCCTCACAATCTTGTAGTCATCAACTCCGGGTTGGAACCCAAATGCGAGATAGGTAGTCCCATGATGATCCAAATTGGAGGAGTTGATAAATAGAGAATTAGGGAGGGTCAACTATATACAAGCATTAGCTGCCAGCAGTGCCTACAAGTCCTGAACTTGCCAAAGCCTGAGTTGCCGACTATTCCAATGTCAGAAGCACAAAAACTGCCTGAGAAGATGAGTCATACAATTCTGTCGGTAAGGCATGTTTTAAGGCCCTGCTACTGATATGTTAAAATGACATGTGACAGTCATTTAAACATACCAAAAATGCAAGGAATCACTAGACAAGCATACAAGCCTGTTCTCCGATACATTGGTCAAGAAATCACTAGACAAACATACAAACCTTTTCTCTGCTACATTGGATTTGATGCTAGTTCATTGTGTTCTTTATATAATTAAGATTATCTATATTATCCTCATTACTTGTATGACATTGGGGCTGTTGGAATTTCCTCTACACATCAAAACAAAACAAGACCTTCCAGAAATGTAGATAACAGAATTAATTCTTTATTCTATCGAAAACACTGCACAAAAAATATCGTGAATATCATCTAATCTACTGGGATACATATCATACCTTACAATGTTTTGGATAATAATGTTGTTGGACATTTAACTTTAAAAGGTTAACTTTCATCCAGTGTTATAACCTCCCAAAAACATATAGTACTTGCTTCATTTTAGATACCACATTAACAACAACATGTCAAACCAGTAAGGTCATCCATCACATGAAACTAAGAAAAATAATCATCCTAGTGTTTACAATAATTTGTTCTTCCTTAATTTATCTGACAGAAAAAACTTATTGGTGCTTATAGTTACTCTCTGATGGGGATCCCCTATACTCATGAGAGTACAACATATTTGAGAAATAAAACCAACCATACTGGCAGTGGTTTCTTTTGGTGAACAAGACTACCAGCTCGTTGATGCATAGGTTGAACATGATAAGGATGCTTTCTTAGTGGGCGTAAAAATCATCTAGCACAAAGCTCAATACAAATTCCAATAGAAGATGGCATCAAGAATAAGCAAGAGGATGAGCTTTTTCTTGAATATTGATAGATGACTACTTGCTTTTTAAACAGTAGTGGTGTTGACAGAATATCTAGTCAAAAAGGTAAATGTTGACAGAATATATAGTCTATTGCATACAAAATGCATGCCTTTGATTGCTTAGGAGCGTCATTTTATAGTCATTTTTGTAGTCTTTTGTTAGTGAGTGAGGACTGAGGAGTGTACGAGACCGTACAAGATCGAAAAATGAAGCCAATATTAATATACAACAGAACAAGAAATGAGTTTTGCACTTTGGTGCAGTCCTGGCAGGCAACATGCCACCTGCATCTGGTATTTCAGGTATATAAAGGTAACTTGGAGAACTAAAAAGTTAACATTACACAACCTACTTTTAATTTGCAGACATAATGACCCAATCTTCAAGTTCATATTGTTCAACCGTAGCAATGGCAATAGATTATCATTCAAAAAGGAATCTGATGCAAATTTAATTTTCAAATTAAATCAATATATTGGAACTCCAAAAATAATAATAATAAAACAGCAGCAGCAATGAACACAAGTCTAATAATATGACAAAATGAGTAAATAACTTATATCACACCTCTTCTTCTCATCGTTTCTTGGTTTCTTTAATTTTTATATATTGATGCCACCCCTAAAAATCCAGCTGCTTCTTGAGATGTTGGTTTGCTAGTGAATTGTTGCATCATAAAAATCTGCCAGGTCACAATGCACGTCAATTTATGTTGATCACGTGGAATAAGAATCTTCCTTACGAAGTAGAATAAGGCTCTCCACATAAGAATGTAAAAATGAAATTCGACAGGCATGGAATCCAAGATCTTCAGCTTGCTTGTTGTCAAGATTGTAAGACACCAAACAATTTTTGTGATTTAGTCGCAGAATCTCACCGTTCCTTCTAAAGCCAATCTTACTCCAATCATTCACATTGGCATCCGAAAAACGAAATGTAAATCGTTTTGTCCAACTTCCCACTTTGCTACACTCCATTGTCCACACATCACACTGATAAGTTTTACCCCCCCAAAAATTATAAAGATAGAGTGATTCCCCCAATACCGCAATTTCTGGTAGTATATACCGAGCACCATCTGGCAGTATTATCTCTCTAAAAACTTCGTCACCCAAATCGAATTGCAAAAGGGTATAAAGAGAGTTCTCACTTTTCATATTCACAGATGCAATCCAATAAGCAGCTCCATTCATGATTTCAGGTAGGGCACCAATCCAAATCTTACATGAAGGGGAGGCAACACTAATTCTTCTCCAAGAATCTGTGCTTAGATTATAAACATTAACTATGAACAAACTATTCTTATGTAATTTTGGTGGGAAGCAAATAATCTCCACTACCTTGTAGTCATTACCACGGTAATCGAAGCCAAAGGCCACATAGACACTATAATAAGCACCCAAAGTGGGATCAAGACTTGGAGGTTCTGGGAGGGTTTTCATTCTTCTAAGTGCTGGGTTCCATAAATATATGGGCGGTCCCAATCTTGATGCCGTTATTGGTCTCCCATACAGACAAACTAAACCATTACAAGACCCACCTACGCGTAAGCAACTGATATGTACTGGAAGCTTAGGTTTAAAATACTCACCAAACGATTCATCATCATAGCGTATTGCGTGACGCCAGGGACTGTAAATGTCACAACCAGGTTTGTACCTAAAGAGGAAGAGAGGAATGCAGTTGTTGTTGCTGGGGCTTGTTTGATGTTTGAGATGTGACTCAATGAAGCTACGATCAGTGATTAGAGAGTACCATGATTTGCAGATTGACCTCACTTGCACTAGTGATTTTACCGGCAATCTAACAAGGATTTGAATCAGGATTTCTTCAGGGAGAGCAAAAAGATTAGATCTTGACGATGCTCTGCTTTTCCCTTTTGCCATTATCTCTATGCTTTCGCAGTTAAACCCTAGCTTATTTCAAAACAATTTTCCACAAATAAGGTTAGGTTGGGTAGAACTTAATAGATTCCTACTTCGTGTATAATTTGACAGAACCTAGTACGTACCAACTCAGCGAAGAAACAAATATATAAGAGTCGTCTAATTTTGCCCCACCAAATAAAAGTCTACGGTTTTATAAATACTTTATAAAGTGTATGTCACCATCAAATATAATGAAGTTCATATTAAAAATAAGGTAATTTATTTTTTTAGAAAGCTACAATACATTTTTTTAGGTTTCATCTTAATCTATTATTTTTATTGGTAATTAAAGCTTCAATCACCATGTATGTTATTAATTAAAACTTTAATATGCATTAATTACTTTGATAGTCATTTGTTAATTGCTATAATGATCAAAACTAGTGATCAATTATAAAAAAATATTGTAATTTTTGTTTTGAAAAAAAAAATAAGAAAAGAAAAAAGATGATACAATTATAAATGGAAAACTAAAAAAATAAGGAAAGGAATTATAAAAAAATGAAAAATAATGAAGGAAAAAGAGAGGCATTATATGAAAACAAACAATAATAGTAATAATACCTATTTACATTTAAGACAATTATATAAATAAAGATGATAAATAAAAAGATTATACTAAACATTATTAAAGCAAAAGTGACTATTAAAGAGAATAGAATCATGAAATAAGTGCATCTCAATAAACTTTCTAAGTCTTTTATTTTATTTCCTTCCATTTTTAAAAAAATAACAAAACTTTTCATCATACTTAATTTGTACCCCTCCATTTTTGTTTTTTCGGAGTTTCATCTCATTTCTCACAAGTTGGGTCAAAAAAAAAAAAAAAAAAAATAGAAAACTGTTATATTTCTCTTTGAACATTTTTTTTTTAACCTAAATTTTCTTAAAACTGTTTTAAAATATTGTCAACTAACAGTTTTTTTTTTTTTTCACTATTTTAATTTTTTTACCTCTTTATTTTTTCGGTAATGGTATATACATGGTTATTAATTAGACAATGAAATATTGTTGTTAAAGTTGAATTAGACTTTAATGGTGAAGTATTAGATGTGAGCGCAAGATAATCTGACGTGGACCAAGCCAAGTCATATTCGGTGATAAAGGTTCGATCATTGTATATTTATTCTTAATGTATAGAGTATTTGTAAAAAAAATATAATGAATATAAAAAAGGAATTAATTATTTTATTTTATTTTATTATTATTTATTTATTTCCATTCATTTGTTTTAAGTTAGAATCGGTTTATATTTTTCTCAATGTATAGAGTATTTGTAAAAAAAGATATAATGAATATAAAAAGGAATTAATTATTTATTTATTTTCAATCATTTGTTTTAAGTTAGGAAATATGGGCACTTCTAGTAAGATCTTGTGACGATATTTGGACACTTGTTAGATATGTAGATACGATCCGAACTTGTATCGAATACGACTAGAAATATTGAATATTTTATTTTCTTGTTGGACAAAGTTAAAAAATATTTTATAATTATTTAAAAAAAAAAGAATGAGACTAAATTTAATTTAAAATATATTATATATTAATTAAAATAATAATATAAATTTTAAAAATTGCAAATAACAAAATTTCCAGTTTTAAGTTTTAAATTAGTAATTTATTTATAATTGGATAAATTACACTAACACTCCAGGTTTAACATGCAACCATCTATAAAATAAGTATTTTTTTTGAATAGGCTCCAAATTTAGTAAAATGGACAAAGACACCCAACCGTGTTAAAACTCGCATTGTAAAAAGAAAATTTTTATTTTATTACGCGTGTTCATATGCTCCTCCCTGTTTTATTTTTATTTTTATTTTTTTAATAGAGCGTAAAAAACACGCACTGTAAAAAGGATACTGAAAATTCTTCTTTTACGCTATTCTCGTTGCGCTCCCGCTACAGACCTGTTCTTCTCCGTGACAAAGAAAGAACACACTCCCTCTATGTGTGTGTATATATAAATATGTATATCGTCATTTCTTCTTTCAATGTTATAATTGAAATTTTGCAATTTGTATATCGGTATGGATGAAGAGTACGACGTCATAGTTCTTGGCACCGGTCTCAAAGAATGCATTCTCAGCGGTCTTCTCTCAGTCGACGGACTCAAAGTAAATCCCCTCTCTCTCTACACATACAACTTACATATATATATATATATATATATACTGATCTTCAATGTATTAATGTTTCAATCTTGTTTACACTTGTGATCTTTTTGTTGATTTGATAATAACTTTGTCAGTAAAATGTTGTTGTGACTTGTTCAATTTTTATTTTTATTATTATTTTTTATTATACAAAATATACTGAACTTTGCTTTTTTTTTTTTTTTTTTTTTAATTTTATTTTATATATATATATATTTGAATAATTATGGAACAAAAAGATTTGTAGAATTTGGATGTTAAATACGTGCTTGCCAATAGATTTTGTGTCTAATCTAGTCAATGTTTGATGATCTACTTATCAAGTTGTCTTTGATCAACAATATCTTGGAAGAATCAAGGTGATATTCCTGACAATTACTTCTGAAAACCCTTTATTTTTATTTGAAGATGTACTCTTATATATATAGTTTTATATTATATATTTGTGTGCGTAGAAAGAAATATTCAACAAAGAAAAATTATAAGACAATAGACTCTGAAACTCCTTATTAATAAATCCCAGAATCTCCATACATGTTTTTCATATTTGCTTGAATTCAGATGTCTTACATTGACTTATACTATTGACAATGAATAATTGAGATGTGCTACTTTGGGTTCATTGTTTGGTGAACCGGTAAAAGCTTATGTTATCAATTGCGAGGATGCGAGTTATAGTCTCTGAGCAACCACTTATATCAAAATAATTCCAAATGTTAAACCTATATCCTCTTTGCACCCAACTTAGGGGCACCAGTTTGAATCGATGCCTTTAATTAATTTGCTAGATTGGATAGTGACTGGCTGCATGGACATTGTATTAATTTGTTTGATCACTGTAAAAGTGTTCAAACAGTTCTATCTCATATCAAATTGCTAACCAATTTAGTGAATTATCTTGTTTCATATATCTTCTAGGCTTAGCACAGTCGGTATAAATTATTAACCTGAGATTATTATTATATTTTTTCCTGATAAGTATTAACCCAAGGTGTTTTTAACATGGACATCAATTAAATTCTGGGATTTTCTTGTTGATGTTGTTGCTTTCTTGACATTTGAGTTAGAACAAGCTGCTCCATACTATCTAGAGATAATTGAATATTCTTTTGTCTAATGTTTTCACTGGGTATCATCTTGAACAGGTATTGCATATGGACAGAAATGACTACTATGGAGGAGATTCAACCTCTCTTAATCTTATTAAGGTGAATTTTTCTATAGTTACACGGAAGCACATTTTCCCTCCTAAACTAGCTTTCAGAGGTCCACTTGGAGCAGGCATTGCTGCATCCCAGTTTGAGAAATACAACCATCTCTCTCTCTGTCTCTCTGGTTTATGTCTTACCTTTATATATGTATTGTATAGCTTTGGAAGCGTTTCAGGGGAAATGACAATCCTCCAGAAAACTTAGGCTCTGGCAAAGAGTACAATGTTGATATGATACCTAAGGTATATAGAATACAACTTTGTTGGTCTGTGTATCTAATGACAAGATAATTCTAGTTCTTTTCTTTCTTTCTTTGAATGCTTCTAAACGTTAAAATGTGTTGTTGACACAGAATTTTTTTATATATTACTATCTTCATGTAGTCTGTTTTGTCTCATCAAGTCTTTCTTTTTTGAACTTTTGTTTGATTTATATTTACAATATTAAATATTCGTTCTTCTTTTTAACACGTTTGATTCCCTTTGGGAAAGTTGCTTTTGATTTTCACCACAAGTGTCATGTCTTGCCCAATACTTATTTGTGTGGTCATAATTTCTTAAGGTTTTTGATATGTGACAGTACTAACTGAAAATTGGATGCTGGACAAAAATTGACTATCACATCATATTGCCAACCGCCATAACGGAGCAAAAATGTTTACATGTATTGTATTGCCAAAGTTGCCTGTACTGCTATTTATACCTAGCATGGCCGAACAATAGGTGGTGATACATTCCAACAACATTTTGTCTTTACTACCACAAAGAAAAATAAAAAGTTTACTACATCTTGTTTTATAGAAGTTGGAACTATTTGCCTTAGAAAGTTCTCTCTCATTTTCATATGCTATTTAGGTAGATTGAATTATTAATTTCAGAGAGAACCTTATTATCATGAAGGGAAGTTTATGTTTTAATATTTAATATTGTGAAACAGTTTTAGGATGTTCAAATACACAATATATAAGGTTTGTATACGTTGCCATAATCGTGTTTTTTAATCTCTTGACCATCATTATCTACTATTGTAGAAGAAAACTATGTGCCTTGCTTTGTTAGTGTTGATAGAAATGTTTTCCTGAAAAACATTAATATATTGTCATGAGAATGAAGGGTAAAGAAAAAAATAGTAATTGACTTGTGAGAGGGTGGATGAATTTTAAGAACCATAAATTTTTCATGTGGAGGGGGAGGGGGCAAGAGATGAATTGTCCTTCCCAAAGTATCACTCACAAGAAAGATATATCAACATTGAAAGAGAGAAATGCTGTATGGAAAGTAAAGAGCATAGAGTGCAGCAGCTAACTTTTCTATATTAAAAATAGATTTGCTACTTTTTTTTTTTATTTAATGGTTTCATATATTTCTGTTCTCAATTCATTGAACAAAAAAAATAAAGAAATAAGAATCTTTATGAGTTGACTCCATAATTTAAATTTGGAATATTATGTTCATTGAACTACATGGATTTGAATTGCTACTTATGTTGACTATGAGATTAGGTTTTGCTTGTAAACCTTTTGTAACATAACTTGAACACATTGTGTGTTGGCTGGTGGTGATTTACCTCATTTTATTATGAACTTATGATATTTTAATTTAGTTGCTCAAATTAAGCAAAATTTTCACTGGATATAAGATGATATAATGAAACTTCTGAAAATAAAATTGAATTGCGTAAACATGTTCTTGAACCAATATTTATTGATTACAAGGGTGATTAAAGAAAAATAATAATGACATGTTTTTGCCATTTCACCTTGTATCCTTTAGTTCTTTCCCTGGCAGTTTATTTCCCAATTATGTATGCCTTCTTTTATGTCAGATGTATTTATGTTGAAAAATCTTTCCATTGCTTTGATAGTTCATGATGGCAAATGGAAGTTTGGTCCGTGTTCTCATCCATACCAATGTGACCAAGTATCTGAAGTTTAAGGCTGTAGATGGTAGTTTTGTGTACAACAAGGGAAAGGTATGTGATGTTTTCACAAATTAGCGTATTATATTCTACAGAAATCAGTCTTTCAATGTTAATTTTTTGTTGGACTTCCCAAAAGATTAAAAAAAGCTGTTATTTTTTCAGATTTACAAAGTTCCAGCAACTGATGTTGAAGCATTGAAATCCACGTTGATGGGACTTTTTGAGAAGCGCCGTGCTCGAAAGTTCTTTATTTACGTACAAGACTATGAAGAGAATGATCCTAAATCTCACGAGGGACTGGATTTGAACAAAATTACAGCAAGAGACCTTATCTCGTATATATCGCATCCTCATTTAATTACCTGTTATAGAGTGATATTTACTCAAGCCTATTGGTGAGAACTTGCAATAACTTACTTCTTTTTTTGGCTGAGAATTGTGAGTTCACCTCTCCTTAGTAACACCTTCTTTCTTACAGTGATAGAACTAACCGATTTTATATGTCAACGCCAAAAGGATTGGAACTCACTGTCTGATTTGTCATATATGTTAGGAAGCACAAAAGATTTATAGTGACTGATGAGTAATAACCATATAAAGTGCAGTTCCTTTTGTTTTTCAGAAAATCTTTTACAAGTCACTTGCTAAAGAATCTGACTGTCATTGCTGAAAAATCAAAACTCAGCTATTTCTACAGGAAAACTATATGAGAATTATTAGATGGTTGTCCCTATATATTTATGATGAGCGATATTTTGGTTATTTGATATTAATAAGGTGAAAAAGTAATTGTGCTTTCAAGACGCGCAAAAAATGGATGTGCTAATGCATAAGGGATTGAAGTCCAAGTTTCAATCAGAAGTTCCAATTACTTCTTCATAATTGAAAACAGATTGATGGTATACAATTCTTGGTCATTCTATTTGATTTTTCTTTTTTATACATTTTGTAACAGCATCTCTGGTTGCATTAATAATGTCGTTTTCCCCTTATTTCTTTAAACATTTAATATAATTGTACTTCTGCATCAAATCAGTGGAACCTTTAAACAAGAATATCATGAAGATAAGGAGAAGCACATGGCCCTAATTTGACTTTTAGCTTCAATTTTCCTTTTTTTCAACAATATAAATTCCAGATCATATAGGTTACTCATGCCAACTTGTCTGTTGATGCAGAAAATATGAGCTTGAAGATGATACAATTGACTTTATAGGTCATGCCTTAGCACTTCAAATTGATGATAGTTATTTGGATGAGCCTGCTATGGGTTTTTTGAATAGAATGAAGGTGAAAAAAAAATATGTTCTTTTTCTATATTTTGAATACTGACGTTTCATGTTTGGAATTTTCAACCATTTTTTCATTTAAATAACATATGTGCATAATTCTTTTAATTCCTTATATTCTTATTCAACCACTATGGGTGTTACCTGTGTAGTGCTCTTCTTATTTTGATCTATAATCATTTAACAAAAATATGATGGTAGTGTCATTGTTTTCATGTATCTCGTGTTTTATAATTTCTAGTTGATAGAAGGTCTAGCCCTGTGCACGACGCTCTCGCCACTGCAGGTCTTGAGAGACTCAGACAGCCTTACCTCAGCATGAGTCTACAGATATGTAGATGCTGTTATATATTTATAATATATGGCAGAGCACAAATAATTATAAATTTTTATAGAATAATTTGGCCAAAATATTTTTTCATCTTATAAACATCATCTGGTTATTAGGAAAAGGTCACTATGAGCTGAACCATTAATTCGTTCTTGTAAGCTTATTCTAATTAAGAGAGTTCATACTCTATAGTCGACGTTACTTTGTTACCCGGGTTATGCTAAATTTCTAATGATATAAGAACTTGTGCAAGTGCCTTTCTGGAGCCTTGGAACTCAAAATCTGACTTGTTTGACAAGGGTCCTAAAGGTTGAAAACGAAAATCAAATGTAGAGTATGCATTTGAAAGGAAAAATAATAATTCATGAGATGCCCATTATGTGTTTCATTTTATTTCCTCATACAAATCTGCGAGTATTTTCCTCTAAAAAAAACTGTAGTAATTATCTTATTGTGTATGCAGCAGAGGAAGAAGTTTTTTGGGTCTGGACTCTGTCTCTTGCAATAACGAATTACTTTTCTGTTAAAAGATGTCCTTTTTTGGTTCTCAAATTCACATTTATAAGAATACAGATAGATATTGTTTCCTGTCGTGTGGAGAAAAACATAAATCCTCATTTGTTAGATTTGTGCCTTCTAAGTACCCCTTGTCATTGGATCTGATGTCAGTTGTGTTTGGTGCCACTGGTACTCTCTTTATTTAAACATGCTTCCAGTTACCTTATACCTCAATTGTTGGATTCCTAATATCAAGTTGAGTCTATCTTAATTATTTAGGATGTTGCCTTCTATGTTGATAAATTTCATGGCACTATCTATTAATGGATATATATTTTAATGAAGTTCATATTTTAGATAAAGGTTATGATTTGTGGACTTTGACAGGGCATCTCCCAAAATATGAAATGTGGACATGATCACACAAGGATCTGGTTGTAAATGCATATATAAATTATAAGTATTTACTTCTTTTGGAGCTTTTGAATATTTGTGTGGGTGAATGTTGAAGAGCCATCGAGTTGGATTCAATAATCTTATTAAATTATAGCTGTAATAAAAATAGTATGACATGCATCTGTGGACAAGTAATTTTTATGTAAATAAGATCGACATTCACATTAGGGGTTTTAACAAAATGCTGTATCATGCATGCCTTTCTCACAGTTCTCAATTATCTGTTTTCTTCTATGTTCAAGAAAATCTCTTGGCAACTAAATTATAGCAATTTGACTGGAAGGTTTCCCACCTATCGTAAGATATACATGCCACCTCTCAAATCCCCTCATTTTTTAGATTGCGAGGAAATAAGGATATCCTTTTTAGATAAGGAACAGTTTTTGTCAGCCAATCATAACCTTTAAACCTCACAGAATTAGCTCGAGTTTCTGCTCATTGGGCCTTTTTTTGGCATCAAGTACATATCTTTGCTGGTAACCAATTTCTAAACGTTGGCGTAGATCCTAAAGAGATACCACTTCCTCATGAATTTATCTTGAATCGGAATCTTTTGGCTCAACTTTAATTCAAGGGAGCAACCCCATTTTTCACCTTGAATTGGTCACTATATGCTGAATTTTGTTAATTTTGATGCAAGATTAGATCCAGTAACTGGGGGTCTATGGCTGACCGATATGCACACCATCATTTAGCTATTGTAATTCATTTCAGGCTCTTGCTTACAAGGGAATGTAAAGGAGAAAGAAATAAAAAGTCTATCATTTTCTTCTCTTTTCTGTTTAACCATTACATAACATTTTGTTGTTGTTATACTTGTCTGAAGAATTTTGTTATTATTATTCTTCCAGTAAGACCTTGTCTGAAACTGTCTGTTAATGGAACTTACAATTTGCCTATGTTTTTGGCATTTTTAAAAGCTTTATGCAGAGTCTCTAGCACGGTTTCAAGGAGGATCTCCTTATATATATCCAATGTATGGTTTGGGAGAGTTGCCTCAGGTTTGTTTCCATGTGTAACATGCTGTTTATGTAGAGAGCTATATTGAGTTTCTTTGATACAGTGCATTTTATTATTGGCAGGCATTTGCACGTTTAAGTGCAGTTTATGGTGGCACTTACATGCTCAACAAGCCAGATTGTAAGGTAATTTTGTTGCAGTATTCTTGTAATTAGAAAAGCTTATCTATTATTATCAGGTATATGATCCTTATTATGCCCTGGGGTCCACCTAATTTCTGACTTCTGTATACAGTACTTGGATGGGATTTAATGTATTACTGAGGCTGATATATTTCTCACTTACATCTAGCCTTTTCAAAGTAACACATTTACTGTCGCACTAATAAATTTGAATTTGTGAGTCTATTTTCCATACAGGAGATTAAAAATAAAAATAAAAAAGTGAATCTATTTCGAGACATAATAAAGTATTCCCCTAATAATCTTTAACAAATCCATTACAATAAGATATTGATTGTCTTCAATGCAATATTTTTAAACTAATTTTTTATATAAATTTTAGCAACACATTCTTCGATCCCCTGCATGACTAGATTTCGGGAAGCATCATGGTGTTTCTTACACATATTGTTTCCATGAAGAGGATAAGCTGTGAAAGAAGTGGTTCATCCTAGCTTTAAGTTGAAAATTTTGGGCTCATTTTTAGGACATCTCTCTATGAATCAGAGGCTCAACCAGTAAAATCCTATATCTAACCTAGTAACCTACACCATGGCCAATTTTCTGAGGAATCTTAATATCATTGTTTATAATTGTTTTCTCTGATAGTTACGGTTTTTTAACAATCAGAGTTCAACTAGTTTTCTAGTACAGTTGTGTGTATCTTATTGTCTTTTAAAACTTCCACTTGCTTCATGCATTAGCAAATAATAAACAGATCGATCTAGAGACTATTTGTGTTATGGTAAATTTTTAATTGTTTGAATCACAGCCTTGTTCCTCTGATACTTGAGATTACAGGTCGAATTTGATGCTGATGGAAAAGCTTTTGGAGTGTCCTCTGAGGGAGAAACTGCTAAATGTAAGAAAGTTGTTTGTGATCCATCATATTTATCTAATAAGGTAATGTCTGAAAAACTTTAAAATAGTATGAGTTGCAGCTATTGCTTTAGAACGCACTGATGTGAAAAATCTTACTGTTTGCATGTTCATACCTATTTCCTGTATAAAGGAAATATAAAAAGTTTTTTTTTTTTGCCTAGGTGGCCTTCATTTCTAATGCATGTTATGTTTTGAATTGTCATTTCTTTTGAAATCCTAGTTTGTAACAGGTTCAGAAGGTTGGAAAGGTTGCTCGTGCTATATGTATAATGAGCCATCCAATCCCAGAAACCAATGATTCTCACTCAGTCCAGGTCATTCTGCCGCAGAAGCAGCTTGGTCGTAAATCAGATATGTATGTTTGCAAATTTTCTAAGCTCACTTCTTTAGTTTCCTTCGAACAACAAAAGGCAATTGCATAAAGATACATACACATATCACTCCCATGCGAGTATGCCTACAAGTATCTCTGTGTGTTCTGTGTATTTAAAAATCTTAAAGTTCAAGACATTGTAATTTCTCCATCATTCATTTGTCTACTGGAAGTTAAGATAGGTTGGCTCTTTCTCTGAAGCAATATTAGTCATAAGATCAGCCAGATTTTGTATTAGAAGCCATAGAAAAGGGGTTTCCCTTACATTTCTTTAGCATTATAGCCAGTAATTGAAGTTTGGGCCAAACACAACATTCAGTGGAAAAAAATAAGCTTAAGCACTGCTCCAATACGACAGCCGAGAGAGAGAGGCTTACACCACTTGGCATCACAGAATATTGTTCACTGCTTTTGTCTTGTCAAAACAAGTTGAGAATTCCCTTGGCAAGAAAACCTGAATTAAATAGTAAATACAAAATAGGGTAATGTGTAAATAAAAAACCCTGAACTATATCCGAATTTGCAAGGAACCCCCTTGAACTATATTTTGTGCATAATAACCCCTGAATTATCTCATTCGGTTGCAAAATGCCCCAATGCCTAGACTACTTTTCATTAAATAACCATAATGCCCTTTATTTTTGAATTACACTTAATTTATTTTTCTTATTGAAATAAATTATGAAAAAAAAAACTCATACTATATTGATGACATATTCTCCATTAAATTTGCATAAATTTATCTTTAATTTTTGTATTAATTGTTCAAAAAAAAAATCTTAAGTAGAAAATTTTAAAACAATTTAAGTAAAATTTTTTTTTTTCATAAATATCTTGCATGAAAATGAAGGTATTTTTTAGTTAAATCTATTTAATTTTTTCCATTTTTATGATAGATCGATACTGATAATAAAATTAAGGTAAATAAGTATAATTAATATTTAGATAAGAGAAAATATAATAAAATTAATTTAATGAGAAAGGGTAAAATAGTCTTTTGTGATGGGTTTGTCCTTGACTGCAACAAATCAATAGTTTAGGGGGGGCAATTTTTAGTTCAAGGGGGTTATTTGCAAAAGGATAATAATTTGTCCTTAATTATAAAACGTTGTAAGGGAATTCTCAGAAAATTTTAGTGCCAATCAGTTCATTCTGCAATTTTAAGTGCACAAGCCTACCGGAGAAGTTATAGAAAATGAAAATATTAGTATGCCTTAGAAATTCTTCGTTCATGGTACTTGCTAATATGTGTTTTTTAACATTTTAATCTTTACAGGTATCTTTTCTGTTGCTCCTATGCTCACAATGTGGCTCCAAAGGGGAAATACATTGCCTTTGTTTCAACAGAAGCAGAGACTGACAACCCTAAGGCGGAACTGAAGCCCGGAGTAGACCTACTTGGACCTGTAGATGAGATATTCTATGAAACTTATGACAGATTTGTGCCTACTAACAACCAGGACACTGACAACTGCTTCATATCTACTGTAAGTAGACATACATGTGTTTTGTTTATTGGACCTTTCTACATGACTACAACTAAACATTGTCGATGCTTCCATTTTCACTTATTTAACAGCTTGAAATGGTGAAACTCTGAAACCTAAGGAATTGTGCCATGGTACTCACTATGAAAATATTCCATTTGTCTTTGAAATATATCCAAATGACCATATTGTTGCTGATATCTACCAAGAAAGACTATACCGTAATTGGTATAGGAACCCGATATGATTTGGTGCTTCTTGGCAAGTGATTAATATATGTGATACATGAACTCCCCTAATCTAGTGAATTAGTGAACTAGCCTATTTTTCTTGAATCAGTTGCATGTAGTGAGAACTTGGTGCCTAACATTGAATTTGGCTACAAACAATTTTACGCTCTCTGAGACTGAAAATTTCATCAATGCGTTCAACATTTTGATAATGTGCATTTGCTTGTTGTTTTAAAAAGTATTATTGCTTGTCATTTCAAAAGGCCTTACAGGCTACCCCTTGTCAATTTACTTTTTACAGTCTTTGTAAATGGTGTCAATATTAAAGTAGCTTCAATCATAATTTCTTCGGTTCTTCCTACTTACTGTAAGCTATAGAAATTGGCACTAGGTTCCTGGATTCCGTTGTGTATTTTGTTGAGGACCAAATGTTACTGATTAGATACTGAAATCATGATTCCTTGCAGAGTTACGACGCAACGACACACTTCGAGTCCACGGTAAAAGATGTAATTGCCATGTACAGCAAGATAACTGGAAAGGTGAGCTTTTGGTGTTGATTTTTGGTAAGAGGGTCACAAATGAAATCTAATTGACTTTTGATCACCTGTTAAATTTCAAAACATGTCATAAATGGAAAAGAAAGAAATAAAAATAAAATAAAAGCTTTCAAATGACTCCTTTTGTAAGATGAGAGAGTATGCATGTGTTTAGTAATTATCTCTTATGGGAAAAGGCAATGTCATATGCGTGCACAATAAACATGAAGCACAAGTATGTTCTTCAATAATAAAACAGATGTTAAGAATTATGATTTCAACGCTTATCAAGAAACCACATAAGGAATTAGATAATTAGAAGTACTTAAATATTATTGCATTCAATTTCCAGGGAAAAATAATAATAATTATTGCATTCATTTGTGGCTTCTATTGCTGGAGAAAAATCCTATGTTTCTTTTATTTACTCTTCAGAACAACTCCTATGCTTTTTTTATAATCATGATTAGTATATGTGATAGAATCAGCTGTGGCATGCCAAGGGATTGGATATGTGGCCACTAACAGTATCTAAGGCTGGCTTTTCCTAATTAGAAAATGGTGAAATGGTCACTTTATATATTTTTTCGAATAGTGTTAAATTCAATATTTCAATGAATCACAATGAGTTTGATTTTTTTAGTGTATTATGCTCGTTGTGAGAGAGAAATCATAGTCATTAGACCAGCTGAACTTATGAGTTGAATTCAGAAGTTCACTGCAGTTTATTTTCAGATGAGCACGGTCATACGCTATTTACAAATTGCTTTCCGCTCCACTCATATTTTTTATTTTCGACAAGAGTTCGAGTTTAATGGTCTGAAATTCCCTTAGACTGATTTATAAACCTGTTTCTGCTCTAAACTTTAGGTTCTTGATCTTTCTGTGGACCTGAGTGCTGCAAGTGCTGGTGCCGAAGAACAAGATTCCTCCTAAATGTTCTTTTCACATGTTACAAGTATTACCAAACAGTTCTAATATACTGATAGTGTTCTCTTGTTTTTCTCTCTCATTTTTTCGTTAATGATAAAGAATTCAAAATGGCTTACTGGCATCTCTAAGCTGAATATTATGTCCCTATGCTCAGGGCATTATCTGTTTATGGATTGTCATTTCATTTATATTATTGTTCTTTCAATGCAACAGACAGACAGTTTCTCAATAAATTTTTAGATGGTCTGAGACCATTATATATAGAGAGAGAGAGAAAAAAAAAATTTACACATTTTCGATACAATAATTTACATGTTCAATAATGATTGATCATAGACCATGTAATAACTTCTCGAGTTTCTCAAACTGCTCTTATTTTTCCCCTCTCTGCATACAGCTAACATATGCATATCTATGGATTGTAGAGTATTATACTCTAATTCCATTTTCTTAGTCTTGGAAAAACAAAAATTTATGAGAAGTTAAATTGTAAAAGAGGAGAGGTAATTTTACTGTACACTAACAATTGCTAACACGGATCATTCTTTACCGTCCTAATAACATGGACCTAGTAATGATTCCAAAATGAATAAATAATTGGTTAAAAAATATTTATGAATTAAACACCCAAAAATTTATTCAGCGTACAAAGGGTAATGAATTTCTTCATAGCTGAACAGAGTAAATGTTATTGGTCTGTTCGAATTGCAGTGGTTGTGATTGTTTTTTAAAATTAATTATTTTTTAGAATTATTCCATTATTAATAATGGAATAATTATTTTTAAAACTAATTATTAATAATGGAATAATTCTAAAAAAATAATGTTTTGGTGGTCAAATGTAAAAAAAGTGAAGTCAAACTCTAGTTTCTGGTTTTATCAAATGTTACTTGGACATGAAAATTTACAGTAGATTTTTTTTTAATTCCTAAACTGCCTACTATGAAATGACCCAACTACCCATTTAATAAGAAATTTTCATGAATTCCATGCTGAAAATACTAGCAATAGACTCCCAAGTATTCCGCTCATACCCCAGTCCATCCAAATATCCGATCAACACCACAAATCCCAATATCACAATTGCAACAACAACAAAAACAATTTGCATCATTTCTTGAAAGCCCACACGTGTCCCCAGAAGTTAAAGAGTCCTTTGTGAAATTCTTGGCAGAGCCTCATTGCATTTCAATCCCTGCTTGAAATTGTCAAAGAGGTTATCATGCTCTCATATAGTCATATGGTTCTATGATTCTCCGATGGCTGCAGTGAGAGAGGATGTGGCGCCGACAAGGTGACGGCAGATGATTTAGCAGTGATGGAAGGTATTAGAGATGGTGGTTTTCTTAGGCCGGCAAATCAGTGGTGTTGATGTTCTTTTTATCTGATCATTTTTTAGTGTTTTTTTCAATTCGACCCTAGGGTTAAGATTTTTGTGGGTGATGATGGAGAGAGATAGAGAGAGAGAGAGAGAGAGGGAACTAGTGGTGAAGAGATAGAGTGGAGAGTGGTGGCGGTGGAGTGACCATATTTTGGGTTTTTCGTGAAAATAAATCCTTTGAGAACGGTGTGTTTCTAAGAGAGAGGGAGGGGTAGTCTAATCCTTTAAAGTCAAACCCAGATTGTCGCTAAGGGCAGTTTAGAAATTAAAAAAATAAATTACATTAAATTTTTATCTTCAAATTAGTATTTGATGAAACTCCATTAATTAAAAAATTTTGAATTTGATTTTATTTATTTGACCACTAAAACATCATTTAAAAAAAATAAATAAATAAAAAATTATTCCTTTTGTTAATTTTATTAGTGTAAAAACCAATCTCAGGAATATTATTAATAACAACAACAGCTCGTTTAATGTCACGAGGCGGCTATACTAGAAATGTAGAATTTACTGGGAAGACATGCGACTGCGTCATCGTAGCCGTTGGATTATGCCTTCAAATCCACCAACGAAGATAGCAGCGGCGTTCCACGATCCATGATACCCCGCAGGTCCATCTGAATTTTACCATGCAAAATAAAATAAAATAAAATAAAAAGTGATTTACGATTTTTAAGACTAATCGGAAACTCCACCTTCGCGTCCCCTTGCATTCAACGGACCAGTTTGTAGAGAGAGAGAGAGTTGTAGAGAGAGAGATGGGGGACGAGAGGGTGAAGAACGAGGCGCTGGAGATAATGGGATTGTTCCAAGTGCTGCCTCGTTTGGTCGTCTTCGATCTCGACTATACTCTCTGGCCTTTCTACTGGTAATTTTAACATTTTCTCACCAAAGCTTTCGTCAGTTTTGTCATGTTTCTCTCTCCAATTCATTGTTAGTTTGAGAATGCTTCAACCAATTATATGTTCTTCGAGTTTTAGCTTCAATTAGTTAGTTAATGGAATTTTACTTTGTTTTATTCCGGGAAAAAAATTACTTCTTTTTAGGGTTCATATTGCTATCGATTGATAATGAATTATACACACACACATATATATATATATATAGGTATAAAAAAGAATAGGGGATTCTGTAACTTCACATGACACATCAATTTTATGGGCTTGTCTCTTTGCGATAGTGAAAAATTATTTGCAATTTTTCTGTTAATAACCATATAAACCACTGTCACAATTCACATAAAATGTTTTTTTTTTTGCTCTCGGGTATGATGATGCCATTGGGCTTGGTGGCAAATGTTTTTGGCAATAGATTGAATGCTACATAAAAAATTCTAAGTAATTGCATTGAGAAGTATAATGGTAATCTACTTTAGCATAGTTTTTTTTTTTAACTTTCATGAAACTAATCATCGATGAATCTTTTACACCACCTAACATAATTCACTATATTGTTTCCTTTCAAGGCATTAGAAGGACAGTTTTTGTCATTAAAGGGGTTGGTTTCTGGGTTTGGGAGTCCGATTTGCTGCCTTAAATTACAAATTCATTTCGTGGGATGCAAGCTGAAATTTGCCAGTTGATCTCCATAACAACTACCACCCTATAATCAATCTCAAGATCTGTCTTCTTTAGGACAACCACCAGCACTATCTTTGACATTTTGGTAACATTCACAGCCACCGCCACTAGTACTATCAGCCCATTTGCATGACCACTTCCATTCTATGTTCGATGTGTTAAGGTCTCCCAGATTGTGATAAAAACAGCTAGAGAAAGTAACTCCAAAAGTTCATATTATTTGAATGCACTAGCATTATTCATACGCAATTTCATAAAATTTTAAAGTACCTTCATACATAGAAGTTCACCGACTTGTTTACTGCCCACAAACATGCAACTATACTTGCCTCATTGTTCAAAAGAGATGAATTTCATTGTTTGGTCCATAATTTACCGAAATCTTATCTTCTATTTAAAATTCATATACATGAATTTGTGTGTATTTAAAAGCTTGAAATAACTTTTTTGATGTTTTGAACTGCCTTTCCTCATCTGAATGGCTACTTAGTATTCCGAATTAGAAGCTATGTTGTACTATGAATACTCTGTAGACAGATTTTTTACCCACTGAATTTAAGGTTTTATAAGTAACAAATAGCAATAATTTGTCATGTCATGCTTCTGATCATGCTGATATCTTTTCATATTCATCCCGTGTTTTCATTATATCTCCTTCCTTCTTGATTCTCTGGTTCTAATTCTACCTTCCATGCACATGCCTTCTGTTTGTGCTCTTTTGCAGTAGCTTTCCCCTCTTGATTTATGAGTTCTATTTCATTTATTATTTTACAAAACACCATAGAAAGAATGGGTTAAGGTGAAAATATTCCAGTTTCCTCTATTAGACCAATTATTATTTTTTCTGGACCAATGCTGTAAAAAAATATTATATTTAATGTTAATTTATGTCTTCGTATTTGTCAGTGAATGTCGCTCCAAGCGTGAAATGCCATCATTGTACCCCCATGCGAAAGGAATATTGTATGCACTCAAGGACAAGGGAGTTGATATTGCTATTGCCTCTAGATCACCAACTGCAGATATAGCAAAGACTTTTCTTGACAAACTGGAAATAAAATCAATGTTTGTGGCCCAGGTGAGCTGGTGAAAATCCATTTGTTTGATTATGCTTCTTTCGACTCTATATGGTAAAATTTCATAGCCTTAAAAGTCATGGGAGAGATATTCGATCAAATGATCAATTCTTCTATCTTGCTAGCTCTGGCCTCTGATCGAGACTGAGCTGCCAAACTATGGTCTCTATTAAGGGTGCTAAGGTGAAGAACAGTCGGAGCATTCATTGTTAGCTAAGTGGATGGCATTTTGTTTATGGACTATTTTTCATTTTTTTCCTTGCTTCCATCCATGTTATATACTTCTTACTAGAAGCAATCTTATCCTCTTAGTATCTAGCTGATGGCATAGATGGACAGGTCATAGAAACGTATAGTAAGTGAATTTAACACTTGAGAACTCTTAAAGGCAATTTGGTTGCTCATTTTTGCACTTTCAAAACTCCTGTAGAGAGATTAATGTGTGTGTTCTATTAAGAGGGAGGGGGGTGATAAAGAGAAAAAATTGGTTTGTGTTACTGTAGACAAAACTTTTCCTGGTGTACCTTCAGTAATATGGCTTATAATTGCCTGAAATTGCTATAATGTTATTGATTAAACCCTCTAGCCAGAATATTTGTGATTATTCGTCCCCTAGTGAGAGAATCCGTGTGATTGGCTAAGGCCACCCCTTTGAATAATTGTGATGAAATTTCAGGAGATTTTTTCAAGTTGGACACACAAGACAGAACATTTCCAAAGAATTAATCGGAGGACTGGGATGCCCTTCAATTCAATGCTCTTTTTTGATGACGAGGACCGGAACATTGAATCGGTAAGATTAACCTTATTGTTTTCCTATCAGTTATATCCTTGTATGTTTGAGAAGTTGAATCCCATATTCTTTTATTGTTGAGATGCACTGGAAATTGAATAAAATCTCTACTTTAGGCTTTTTTTCTCCCCGGAAAATCTCTTTTGTGGGTATTGGCACCTATACATTTTCAAGTTTTAATATTTCATTTTTTTCAGGTTTCAAAAATGGGTGTAACAAGCATATTGGTTGGTAATGGGGTAAATCTTGGAGCTTTCAGGCAAGGGCTTACAGAATTTTCTCAGAATTCGGGATTATCAGGGAGAAACAGAAAGAAATGATTGTATTTTTTCTATATTCAATTTGCATTACAATCTAAGATGTTAAAGCCCCTCCTTGTGGGGATTATTCTGGTTATATTTTTTCCCGAAAGGTATTCTATCTGATAATTCATATGTCAAATTCTGGGTTTACATGTTACAAATATTACCTTGTTATTGTAGCGGTTGCATGTGGCAATTTCTTGAATGGTTTTTAATGAATTTTGTTGGTAGTTTAACCATTGCATATGTGTTGTTCAGGGATAAACCAATTTTGATGTCTCATTATGGAGGTTGAAATAGTGGTATGGCATGCAGTTCTGTATCGTATCAAATTGCTAACCAATCTAGTGAATTTTGAATCTTATAGGCTTAGAGCACATTTGGTCTAGATTATTAACCAAATATTTATTTATTTATTTATTTTTGTTCTTTTTCTGAGAAGTATTAACTTGAGATGTTTTTAACATGGACAACAATTAAATTCTGAGATTTTCTTGTTGATGTTGTCGCTTTCTTGACATCTGAGTTGGAACAAATTTCTGCATACTATCTCTGGAGATAATCGAATATTCTGTTTGTCTAGTGAAAGCGTAAAAACTCAGGAAAGTGCAAGCTCAAAAAATTTCTTCATGTGGTACTGTCTTACCTTCATGTTGCTCGAGCAAACAGTAAGTACCATGTTGACACTGAGAAACTCTATATGCATATTAGTATATATTCATGTAATTTGGTTGTCTTATCAAGTCTTCTCTTTTTTACTTCTTCTGCATCCTTACATGCCTTGCTTTCCTACAGATTTGGCAACTTGGTGAAATTAAATAGTAACATGCAGCATTGACCCTTTCCTTTGTAGGGTTGCGCGTAGTTTGATGGGAGGATGCACATTGGGTTCAAATCCCTTCCGGTTAAGTTTGTGCCTTAAATCTAACCTATGTCATGAGTAGGGATCCTCTAATTAGAAGACTTTTTTATAAAATAAAAAATGCAGCATTGAATATTTTCCTTTGGAGATAAGGTGTTTAAGCTAAGCATACAACAAGAACATACCAACATAAAAAAATAATAATAATAAGAATTACAAGACAAAAAAAATCTCTAACTCTGTATCATTTTCTCTCACTAACTCTGTAACTCCCACTTCCTTTACATATGTCCCTATTTATTTAGAATGGAATGACTGGAAGGGAAAATTCTAATTACAGAATTGAAAATAAAATAAAATAAAAATATATAAAATATTCCTAAAATCTTGTTGCTTTCCAATTTGGCTTGGTATTTTTGACTTGATGTGCGTCAATTGAATTGGTGTTGCCATTTTTGCCTCTTTTCTTCTCATTCCGAAATTAACTCCTATAAAACATGAAAAGTAGAAATAAGAACATTTATCTAATAAAAAATATTATTTATTTATTTATTATTGAGTATAAAATAACAAGTTATTACATTAATTTGGTGCACTTATTAGATACCTGATATCAAGTGTGTCAAAATTTAACTATTGAGTAAACAGATTCCTAAATGTGTGCACATAAAATATATATATATATATATATATATATATATATATATATATATATATATATATTAAGAACTAGAATTCTCATAGCTGCAAAAAGACACATAAAGCAAGCTCTATATAGACTAGAATTAAATCTACTAACTTTAAGTCACATACCTTATAAAACAGCCCCGGATGAGAAGACGCACTTGAGGAGTTTCCTCTACTATTTCCCTGGACATCGAAACTTCCATTTCATCAACCTTAACCTTCCCATTTTCCTCCTTCAGTGAGAACACATTCACGCAAATCTGAAAATTATTGTCGAAAAGAAAAGGACTGGACTCGTACCCTGAACGGAAGGTGCAAAATCTCCTATTGTCCAATGACAGGTAGGATCATAAAACATTCGTGCACCAGATGGAGGGTATCCAACCACAGGTTCAGTACCATAGAACAAGGTTAGGTCATCCTCGAGCCATTGAAATGACAAATTCTCCATTATTAGCTCCGGAATTTGAGGGGTGAACGCGGGACATTGAATGGGAGGTCCTTCTTCTTCATTACAAGAATCCCAAACATGTAAGTCGTAATGATAGTTGAACTTAGCCCCGGATCTGGTGGTTATGACAATTGTTTTTGTTGACGAGGAGAGCTTGTGGTCAACAATTTCTGAATGGTTGCTTATGAGATTCTCATCAAGCGGCACGGGGGAGGAGGGAGAGGATTCCACTTGTGGGTTTCAGGATTGAAACTCTCGCATGCATGGGAGCTTAAATTATTGCTAAACACATATACAAGACCATCTTCCAACGGTCCTATACATGTGGGGTAGAAGATCCTGCCATTTTAGGTTCTTCAAGGAGTGAAAGAGAGAGGAAAAGAGAGAGTTGTTAGCGGAGGGGAGAATGGAGGGAGGAGAAAAATTGTGTTCTATACTTGTACTGGGTACTTGGTAGAGGAAGATGAAGCTAGAGAGAGGAACAGAGAGGTTGCAACAAATCCTTGGATGCAGAATTTATTTGCTGTAATCCTCGGTCGCTTGAGGCGTTGGGATTTGGTTTGTGGCAGAATTTATAGAAGAGAAAATAGGAGTACTTGCTCTGTTTCGAACCAAATCGTTTGGGATTTGGATTTAAAATTGGAGAAGGAATTAATTTGGAATTAAAATGGAATTTTATTTATCTGTTTGAAATAAACTGAAATTCTAACTAAATAAAATTACCTTTTATGTTGGGTTAATTTTAGACACCCTTCTATGTTTGGCTAAATAACACGTTAAAACAATTTTAGAAAATTACTATCACTTATTTTGTTTAATTTTACTTTGTTCAAATCCCTTCCGCTCAAGTTTGTGCCTTAAATCCAACCTACGCCATTGGTGGGAATCCTCTAATTAGAAGACCTTTTCATAAAATAAAAAATGTAGCATTGAATATTTTCCTTGGTGTTTAAGACGAATAAGAACATACCAACATAAAAATAAAAATTATCTTCATTAAAAAAAAAAAAAGAATTACAAGACAAAAAAAAATGTGTAAATCTTTATTATTTTCTCTCACTAACTTTGCACCTCCCACCTCCTCTACACAGACTACACATATGTCCCTATCTAGGGAAAAATTATAATTACAGAAGGAAAAAATTTAAATAAAATAAAATAAAAATATATAAAATATTTCTAAAATCTTGCTACTTTTTAATTTGGCTTGATATTTTTGACTTGATGTCCTTTACTTGAATTTGACTACAAGACTTTGGTGTTGCCATTTTTGCTTCTTTTCTAGTCATTCCGAAATTAGCCCCTATAAAACAAAAAAATCAAGAATAAGAATATTTATTTAATAAAAAATATTATCTATTTATTTATTATTGAGTATAAAATAACAAATTTTGTACATCGATCAGACAATTTTTGTGCACTAATTAGATACATGAAATCAAACTGGGTTAGGCTGGATTGTTGGGCTAGTTTTACTTTCAAAAGAGAATAATATAACAAATGTGGATTGTTGGGCTTTGGGGTTTAAACTAAATCTCTGTGAAGGACATGAGATTTGATATTAGCCATAAGGTCCTTAAAGAAAGTGGGCCTCTCCTTGTTTAACAATGATGTTGCACCGTTCTGAACATGTGGGCCGCCATCCACCAAATTCAAACCCAGCAACTAAGGCCCAACCCCGCTTGCTATTGTGTTTGAGATCTTTCCATTTGAAAATGGAGTGGTAAAATATATATATATATATATATATATATATATATATATATATATATATCAGTATTTTTCATTTATTGTCAATTTTCAATAATAAATGATAAGTTGTCGTTTATTAATAATAATAATAACAACTGTTGTGTCCTTTCATAAGGTGCTGCAAAATAATTTTAAAGAGTTCTTAGGCTCCGTTTGTTTGGATGAAAAATATTTTTCAGAAATTATTTTTTTATTTTCTAGTATTTGGTTGTAATAAAATATTTACGAAGAAAAAAAATATTAAAATTTAACAAAAATAATTGTCAATAAATTTTCGTCAAGTTACTTTACATGCCCCGTCCGATGGACTCAACCTCAATCTCAACGTAAACCTTTACCAAACAACACAAAGTAAAAATAAAAAAATATTTTACCGGAAATATATATATATATATATATATATATATATATTTTAAAAAAAGAATATTTTATATCGAAACAAACGAGCCTTAATGTTTAAACAGTGTAGTTGTGATGGATATATTTAGGGGAGCACAAAAGAACTATGGAACCGAAATTCCGGTTCTCACAATTTCGGTTCCAGTTCCTAAAATGAGGAATCGTCGAGTTTCGATTCGGTTTAGGAACTGTAATCTATATATATATATTTTATTTTATTTTTTAGGCAAATCATTACAGCGGCACCTCCATCTCTATTCTCTCGACTCTGAACTTGCCCTCTTTCTCTCTGCAACTATAAACTACAAAATCTACATCTGTATGCAAGAATCAAAAGTTCAAAACCCATATCGGCATATCATTTCAGATTGTTCAAAAAATCAAAACCTATATCTTTTAGTTTCCATCGCCATGCTGTTCTAGTTCGGGTTCACAAGCTTTTACCACTGTCTCTCAGCTCTTAAGCTTGCCCCTCTCTCTCTCTTTGCAACTACTAAACTTGCCCTCTCTGTCTCTGCAACTGTAAACTACAAAATCTACAAGAATCAAAAGTTCAAAACCCATATATTTCAGATCTGTTTGCAAGAATCAAAAGTTCAAAACCCATATCGGCATATCATTTCAGATTGTTCAAAAAATCAAGACCCATATCTTTCAGTTTCCATCGCCCGTTGTTCTAGTTCGTGTTTGCAAGTTTCAGCCATTGTCTCTCAACTCATGGTTAACGGTTCTCCGGTTCCGTTCTAATCTATACGGTTCGGTTCTTTAGGAACCGTTGTGAACGGTTCCTGTTCCGACTGGAACCTTAAAGAACCGAACCGTGTGCACCCCTGGATATATTGATTTGAAAGATTTTCCACTGCAACTCCTCTCTCTCACACAGAAACCCTATACCCATTTTAAAGAGAGTAAAAAAAAAACAAAAGATGGGACTGGAAATGATGATGTAAAATTGGTGTTTAGATAATCTAATTTTTCTGATAACATACCCAGGACATTCATTTAGGGCCCAATTTGGCAACCAAAGTTTCTTTGTGATTTTGTTTTGACCCGAAATAGAAGCAATGT